TAAAAAAAAAAAAAAAAAAAAAAAAAACTTCAGTAGGTCTCCCAACCTCCCTCGAAGTGCGAAATTGTCAATGAGAAAAAAAAATTTGAACTTCCAGACTGCCAATGATTATCAGATAGTGAAAATCATAGAACTGCGGATAAGAAAAATTCCGAAAAGAAATAACCAGAATTCGGACTTACTCAGATGAGAGTATTCGCAGTTTGAAAAATGGTACTGCAAGTAAGATACTGTTTTTCTTTTTTTTGAATCTGTATTAATTTCACATAATTACAAATATCCTGAAATTGCAAACGGAAATCGACTTTTTTTTTTTTTTTTTTTTTTTTTTTTTTTTTTTTTTTTTTTTTTTTAAAAAGGAAATCGAAATTTTCAAAAAAAGATATTCCGGAGTTTCTAACAACGAAATTTCGAATTTTCAGAAGAAAAACGAAAACGAAAATTTCAGATGTTGCACTACTGCGATTTTCCACAACAGAAATAGCGAGAAAACAGAATCCAAAAAAAAGAGAAATTTTTTTTGATTTTCGGCAGTGAGGTCAAAATCGTGATTTTGGGGGCTAACTAGTGTGCTCTAATCAATCAATCAAGACTAATCAGCTACCTAGTCCCCGCACACGCGTCAGATCAGGTTGTCGTGATTCACATGCGGTGTTCCGATACCAACTGTTACATGCCCAGTTGGGTGATGTACATAATAACCGAGGATCCGCAATGTGAAAAAAGGACTGAATGGAAAAATGCAATGCAAGTGAAATCTCAACAAGCAGTGTGCATTCTGATACATACAAAATGGTGCTTTATGGCACAGGGAAGACTTCGATACAAGTCCTGACCTGACTGAGACTGACCTCTATCACGTAGTGCAAGATAGCGTAGCAGAATACTACAATATCAATGACTAGCCCAATCAATGTTGCAACGCAGACTAAACATACATCATTCTCATCACAAGGTGTGAGGAGACCTGGCGCTATACACAGGAAGAAGGCGCCAGGCCATGATCATGCACAGACGAAGAGGAGGGGGACAGACGAAGAAGAGGGGGAGAGATGGGAATGTCGTCAACACCAAGTCTTTGTCACAAGTCCCAAATAATCTGTCGTCAAAATGTCTGAAGCCCAAATGTCGAGTCTGGATCCAAATGTCACCAAGCTTTCTCTCTCTCTCGTAGTCTGCTGATGCAGTGAAGTCAGGTAGCGAGAGGGTGAGAGGGAGATGGTGGACTGAGAAGAGGAAGAAGAAGAACTCTCTCTCTCTCTCTCTCATATGCCAGGTACTAACCTGTGAAGATGGCGCTGTGCTGCAGGTACCTCGAAGGCGAAGCTGGAGCTATGGCGCTGCAGGTAAGTATCCCTGGCCTCCGCCCAATCTCTCTCCCTCTACTACTACTCTAGCTCCTACGGCGCCCAGCGCTGAAGACTACTGCTAACGCTACTAGCGCCCAGCGCTGAAGACTACTACAACTACTCCTGCAGCGCTGCGGAATCCTGAAGACTACCTCCTCCTCCTGAACTGCACGTGAAGTGCCCGGGAAGTACCTAGGAAATACCTGCCGGCCTGCAGGGCGGGCCAGTCGTATATAGTGCTGGCCCGTCCAGGAGGCTGCTCTTGCCAATGCCGAAACGTGTCTTGAAAACAGGCCTGAAATGGCCTGTGCTAAAACCCTGGTTTGTTGCCTGAGTTTCAGGGCCGTCGGACTGACGAGGGCCTGAAAATGGCCCTCAGTTTCAGGCTGAAAATACTCAGGGCCGGAAACGCCCTGATTTAGCCTGAAACGACACAGGGCCTGTAGGCCCTTGTTCTCAGGCTTTCAGGCTGAAACGACACAGGGCCCGTAGGCCCTTGTTTTCAGGCTTTTGGCCTGAAAACGTCACGGCCTGAAAGGGGGCCCGTGCAGCCTGTTGCAGGCGCAACATGTAACACCTCGAACCAAAAGCAGAATTGCAAGACGAGCCCCACCAAATAAGAGCACAGCAAAAGCTCATAAGTGACAATGTTCGAATAGTCTCATCATCATCAACAAAGAACAAATGTCGACATCCTATCTGGCGCCCTGCGCCCAGACTACAAGTGGCAGATCCTATCTAGCCTATCTACAATGCCGCTGGTGACGTCAACAGCTCCCCGAAATACGAGCAGATCTCGGCCAATGTCGTACGCCTCAAGCACCAGGTATGTCTCTCGTATCACTCACAACCTCGGTCCCCCACTCACAGATGCCACATGCACCCAAGGACCACCACGCGCCCCATCCAGCCATGCAGCGCAGCTCGGCTATGGCTGCCTGCCTCTCCCTGCTCGCCCGTGAGCGCGTAAGCCTGGCCAGCGTCTATCGCAGCATGCAGCCAGTGCCCGAATCAGGATTGCGGGGGCAGGCACTTTCCTAAATGGAAGTGGCCTGCCTGCTGCGTGGGACCTGGCTGCACCTGGCCCCGGCCCAGAAGCTTCTGGTAGGCCCCGGGAGGCTGAGCCCCAGTCTGAACGAATCAGGCCCAGGGCCCGTGACAGTTACCCGTGCCCAACTGCCCGCAGCCTGTGTTGGGTCCTCGTTGTGTATCTCGCCCAGGGCCTGACTCAGATGCGTCTGATAAAAGTAGCCAGGGCCTGGGCGCTTTCAACCAACTGGCGCTGCACAACTGTCTGAATTTCCCCAGTAGCGTGGAGACCCCAAAATAGGCCTTGGTCGGGCCTGCCTTCGCTTAGGGTGGCCGACTGTACTGAAAAGGCGGCCCAGTAGGGCTTATCGAGGCCTTGAGCCTCGCATTCCCTCCTCCATACTTCGACAGTCCTCTGAGAAGTTCCTTTACTCAATCTGGTGCTTTCCTTCTTGCAGCAACTTCTCGTAGTGGGCGACAATCTGCGGGGCGGTCTGCATCAGTTCCTCCCAAGTAAACCATCCATCCTCCTTTGGATCAGTATGATGTCTGAACCGAACGCGGTACTGCAGCTTCGGCTTCGGAGGACGTCTTCTACCTGAAGGTCTTGGAACTGGCATTTCGTTGGTCCACGATGTCATCGATGTCGACCTCTCCATCCATGGTCGGGGGCAGCATTGAGGGTCGTGGGGGAAATTGATCAGTTTCCTTGGAAGGTAGAAGCTTGGAGGCGTGAAAGACAGGTTAAGTGCGAAGGTGACCAGGGATCTGAACTACATATGACGCCCCGTCCGGATCATCCCCGACAATATCCAGAACCTCCCAGGGTCCAAAGTGTTGTGGCATGAGCTTACGGGATATCCCGTGCTCCTGTCTCAGTTCTGAGGACTGGACCCAGACTCTGTCCCCTACATGGAATGTTGATGGGCGGCGGTGCTTGTTCTCAGACTCTATCATCGCCGCCTGTGTCCTGTGCATCTGTTCTACAGCTTGCTGCATCAACTGTTCATATCGATAAGCAAATTCTAGTATACCAGGTGCAGCTGTCGGCTGACTCTCAGGTAGTAAGAAATCTAGAGGCAGTCTAGGCTTGAATGTCAGTAGCAGGCTGTTTGGACTCACCCCTGTTGCGCTGTGCACAACATTGTTGTACAGGCTGGCGATGAGAGCCAGTTTCTCATCCCAGTCCACCTGGTTGGGCTTAATGTAGTGCCTCAACAGGTGTTGTACAGCACGATTCAGCTGCTCTGCTCGTCCGTTTGCCTCTGGGTGGTTCCCGAAGGTCATCTGCAGCTGTGTCCCCTGTTCTGCAGCTGCAGCCTTCCACAATTCACTAGTAAATCGCACGTCTCGGTCACTCACGATAGACCTTGGCAATCCAAAATATCTAACCCAGTTTTCCTTGAACAGCTTGATTACGTACTCTGTCTTGGCTGTTGCAGGCATTGTGACTAACCTAGCATACTTACTAAACCTATCCACAATGACATAGACATATCGCATTCCACTCTTGCTGGTGACCAGCGTGCCCATGAAGTCCATGGACAGGCTCTCACCGGGCCTTTCCAGTATCGGAAGGGGCTTGAGAAGCCCAAGAGGGGCCTGTGTACGTGGCTTGTCTCTCTGACATACTCGACAAGTCTCCACGTACAGCTTGGCATCTCTCATCATTGTGGGCCACCAGAACTGCTGCAGCAAGTTGGCTGCAGTCTTTTTTTAGCCAAAATGTCTTGTGGCATCGTGACACTCACCTAAAAATAAACTACGCAAAGACTCCCGATTAGGCACACACAAACGTTTATTCCCGACCTTCTCAAGGAACAGCAGGCCGTTGACCAACTCAAACTCGGCAGAAGTCGCTTTGTCCTTCGCCTCGAGTCTGCGTATGATCTAAGCCATAAACCGATCCTCGCGATAGGCTTCCACCAAAGAACGAGTGACATCGTCCGCAAGCCGAAACTCAGTTGTCAGCGCTCCGAGGACGTCTGGTCTATGCGACAACGCATCAGCAACTCTGTTGTACTCTCCTTTGATGTACTGAGGCTTGAAGTCATATTGTTTAATGACTTCGATCCATCTTTTCAATGCGTCAGAGAGCAGTGGCTGGGTTCTCATCCACTTCAGTGTCTGGTGATCAGTCCTGACATAGAAGAACCTCCCAAGGAGGTAGTGCCTCGAGTGGGTTAGCGCCTTATAGATCGCATAGAGCTCCTCCTCATAGTTGAACTTAGCCAACTTCTGAGAGGGCATCTTTTTGGACATGTACTCGACAGGCCTCAACTTTGGACCCTCCTGCTGCGCAAGCATGGCGCATATGCCATATTGGCTAGCATTTGTGGTTACTATAAACGGGTGGTCAGGATCAGGAAGCTTCAAGACCTCATGGTGCGTCAGCGCATGCTTCAGGTGTTTGAAGGCAGCCTCACACCTGTCTGTCCACTCCCACGGGTTGTCAAGGCAAGTCAGGTCCGTCAAAGGGGCGGCCACTATGCTATAGTTCGTAACAAAATTGCGGTAGTAGCCGGTCATCCCTAAGAAGGACCTCATCTCAGCCACAGCTTGAGGACGCGACCAGTCACTAATGCTGACCACCTTCGCGTCATTAGGCTTCAATGACTCCGCGGAAATCTCATGACCCAAGTACAAGATACGGGTGCGGCCAAACTCGCATTTTTCCTCGTTGATCTTAAACTGGTGCTGTCAAGACTAAGGTCTTTGTCTAAGTGACCAACGTGCTCCTCGACAGTCCTACTAAAGATAAGTATGTCATCGAGGTACACGGTGACAAACTTGTCCAAGAAGTCATGAAAGATCCTATTCATGGCGTGATGAAAGGTGCCAGGAGCCGAAAGGCATCACCACAAACTCGTACAGATCGTACCTGGTCTGAAAAGCGGTTTTGTATTGATCATCGAGCCGTATTGCAATCTGATGGTACCCGGACTTCAAGTCTATCTTACAGAAGTACCGACACCCCTGCACTCGGTCCAACAAGTCATCGATGAGAGGTAGGGGCTCTTTGTTCTTGACAGTGATGGCATTGAGGCCCCTATAGTCAATGCACATCCTCAAGGTCCCCCCCTTCTTGGGTACAAATAAGACAGGAGACCCGTAAGGGGAAACGCTCCGCTGGATCCAACCCTTCTCTATGAGTTCCTTAAGTTGTTGGCGAAGCTCATCGAGCTCGGCTGGAGATATCCGATAGATCCTACCCTTCGGAATAGTAGACCCTGGGATAATCTCTATCGCGTGGATGACCTCCCTCTCAACAACCCCTTTTGGCTTTTTAAATACATCAGGGTACCTAGCGACTACTCCCTTTATCTCCGGGAGCATTTTCATCGACTCGCCGGCTGCAGAGACGGAAACTAGATACATACCGTCCTCCAGATTTTGCTTATAATAATTATAGAACGCGGCTGCACACATGCATCCATAGGACTCGATTTGACTACTAGCCTTTAACTTACGTAATCTGGCGGTCCCTCCACCGGGCAAAGTGTGCTTGACCACTTTTCAATCCCAATCAAACTGGGGCTGTGCAACCGAAAGATGGTACATACCCAACAGGATGTCCATTGGGAGATCATCGCTCACTAGGAACGAGACACGATGTCTCAGTTCCCCTCCCGCGTACGGGAAACAACACTCAACGTCCTTAAGGTAGTCATTAACTACCATGCACTGCTTTTTGTCACGGGTTGACACCACAGGTCGACTCAGGTGCTGCACTTGCCCCTGTAACTGCAACCTCTCAACGCATACACGACTGATAAAACTTCGCGTCGAGCAAGTGTCATAATAGGCCCCGGCCTTGCGGCCGCCGATGACTACCTCGCCGACGAGCATCTCACCCTAAGGGGCTTTAGCCAATGCCGTCCAAGAAGCTAGGGGGTCTGATATAGACCACTCCTCCTCTAGCTACGCATTCATCGAACAGAGGCTCGATGGGTCCGAATGTGTTTGCAGGACAACAACGGAGTCAATAGCTTGGGCCATCTTTCGAGATGGTGAGGGTGTGTCCACCACCTCGACCCTAGCAAGAACAACTACTATTCCTATTGGCCCGACGTGTTTCCCGGAGCAGTGCCAAAACTGCTGGCCACATTGCTTCCTGTGGATGCATAGGACACCAACGCCTGCCCCATTGTAGGCGGGATCTTTTCGGTCACCTTCTTATTTTGGCACTTGAACTGATTATGGCCATATTGGCCACAACGGATACAAGCCTGCCGAGTGTACCGATCTCTCCACACGCCCTCAGTGAGACCCACTTTCTCCCATGGAGGAGCGTTGGGGTCAACTTGACTCTTAGACCGGGAGCCTCCACGACGTCTACCGATCGCCTTGCCTTTTTGAACTGAGGCAGCGACTACTCCACCCCCTGAAGCTTCTACGCTGCCCGTCTCTGAACCTACTCCTTCCTGGAAGTCGTCGTCCAACTCAATGGTTGAGCCATCGTTGTCGACGAACATAATATGACCGTTCGCCTTCTTGTTGGGAGGCAGTGACTTCTTCCTTCCATCCGTCGTGGGAAAGTGCCCATGCCCTATCTTTGCTTTTAGGTATAGGGCCTTCTTGCTGAACGAAGGAAAGTTGTGCACATTGATGTTTGCCTCACCCGCCAACTAATTTTTGAGGGGCATGGGAAGACACCTCAGATAAGTAGTGAGTAAGACCTGGGGGGTCGTAACGAACTCCAGGAACACAGATCAGATGCTCTATCGCATCTGTGGCATCCCTAACTGACTTGAACGGTCTATTGCTCAGAGTCAGGATCACGTCAGTGGCCTTTTGGGCCTCTCGAGGATCATGCCACTTTTCCTCCACCAACTTAAGGAAGTCCTCTAGTTTCTGGTTGACTTCCCAAGCGCGAAAGTCCGGACCGTACCCCTGAAGTTGCACTAACCCACTTAACCATCTCGTTGCACTCCCCTCGAGATAGGAGGCAGCCACAAGCACTTCCTCGTGCGACAAGGTCAATTTGCACTTAACGTAGACTGGCATTGACCTTAACCATGTGTCAAGGTTTTCGCCCCTCTCATCCCCTGAAAAGGGTTTAGGCGAGGCGATGGCCGTCTTTGGGACCCATTGACCTCGTCCCGATACCTATCCCACTCTTGGTTGTGGACCCTGGGGCGCAGGCTGCTGCACTAACTGTTGTTGTGCAGGCTGCGAGACATCAAGCTGCCTTGTTACGGCAATCTGCGACGGAGGTTGGGAATACACTGTACACTAGGACCTGCTGAGAACCCTCCTGTCAAAGTCATTCCTAAGGAAGCGGCCTGCACCGATGTTGGAGCTATGTACGGGGATAACCCAGTCACCGGGACAGAAGGAGGAGGCTGTACCACGGGCCAGGCACCGGGCCCTGATGGTGATGGTGTCGCCTGAGCTCGCCCAACCAGCAGGGCCAGGCTCTGCTGGATGTCCTGTAAGAGCGCCATTTGGTGGTCCTGCATCTCTACCACATCTAGCAAGACCGTCCTCAGGGTCCTCACATTATCATCCACGTTCGTCAGGTCCATCTCCTCTAACTCACTAATCTCCGCTTGTCTCCGCTGCACCCTTGCTCTGCTCCTAATCATTCTCTCTTTCTCTGCCTTTATCTCCCCTAAAGCCTTCTGTAGTTGTGCATCCTGAGCATCTGTTTGTTGTATGGCGATCTCTTCGAGAGTCAAAACTAACGGCTGGCTTGCCACGACGCCAGTGGATTGACTCAGGGTCTGTGCGACCGTTGACCCTACAGTCCCTGAACTACTAGCCTGAGAGCTCCGCTGTGCAGCAGTGGTCATGGCTGCTAAGGTACCTGCTTCGCTGCAAATGCCCTGCTTGCCTCTGCGGCCCTAGCTCTTCGCTGCTGCTGCTGTCTCTCTCTGCTGGCGGAACAAGAATCTGTCGCCCTCTCATCATAGTGCCAAGTGGGCTATCGGGCGCCTCGCTGCAGGATCCGGTCGTCCTCTCTAGTTTCCTCCCTATCGCTCCTAAGCTAGCAAACTGTACACAGACTGCACTAGGTCACACTCAATGCCTACCACAACGCCATGCACAGACATATTTAAAATAAATAAATTAATTAACCGGCGGCTATTTCAGAGTCTACACATTCGGGTCCAACAGGTAGGTTCAGATTCCTACAAACGAAACTATTTTTATTTAACTAGTCCACAAACAGATAGTAGGGTTCTACCTAATCCTGTCTATCAGATGTGGCAGTCCATCTAACTAATCAAGAATAAAAATAAAATCGTCTGTGTGGATATTTGCAGAGTGGAATTAAACACAAACTTATCATCTGAAATCTACCCCTCCCTCAGTTTCTCTAGGTGGTCACTTGACGTCAGCGTCCTTTAGCGATCCAGAACAGCGTGCGTGTCTAAAGGTATGCACACGGCCCGCCCCTGTGCCCCGAGTGTATGCTGAGCTTGCCAGCCCTGCACATTGTTTATCCTCGCATGCAGCGAGCCTTACACCGACCGATTGGCTGATCAGGAGGCGGTTAAGGACGGAATTCTTTAACGTCGCAGACAAGACAACGATCACAGCCAATGGAAGGTACCCCGCCGGTGTTTATTTATAGACGCCCGGTACTCGTCTCCCCTGTAGGGCTGGCCTGCCCCTCA